ACATGCATTGCTAAGAACTTCATTTGAACAACTTTAAAGATGATTTTCTCAATATTTAGATTTTTTTGCACCCTCAGATTCCAGATTTTCAAATAGTTGTATCTCGACCAAATATTGTCCGATCCTAACAAACCATACATCAATGGAAAGCCTATTTATTCAGCTTTCAGATCATGTATAAATCACAATTAAAAAAAATTGACCCTTATGGCTGGTTTTGTGCTCCAGGGTCACACACACACACACTCACTCACTCACACTCTCTCTCTCTCACACACACACACACACTCACTCACTCACACTCTCTCTCTCTCACACACACAAATTATTGATTTTTCTTTTATGCCAAAAATCATTAGGATATTAAGTAAAGATCGTGTTCCATGAAGCTATATGTAATTTCCTACTGTAAATATATCAAAACTTAATTTTTGATTAGTATTATGCATTGCTAAGAACTTCATTTGGACAACTTTAAAGGTGATTTTCTCAATATTTATATTTTTTTGCACCCTCAGATTCCAGATTTTCAAATAGTTGTATCTCGGCCAAATATTGTCCGATCCTAACAAACCATACATCAGTGGAAAGCTTATTTATTCAGCTTTCAGATCATGTATAAATCACAATTAAAAAAAATTGACCCTTATGACTGGTTTTGTGCTCCAGGGTCACACACACACACTCACACACTCTCTCTCTCACACACACACACACACACACTCACTCACACTCTCTCTCTCTCACACACACACACACACTCACTCACTCACACTCTCTCTCTCTCACACACACACACACACACATATATATATACGTATGCAGCTGGAATAATTGAATAATGGAATGGAATAATTATACGTAATTATTATTAAATTGTCTAATATATATTTATTTGACTTAATCAGAAATTATTAGAATTATTAAATGAAATTAAAATTAAATAATTATTAAAAGTATTTAAAAAAAATACTTTGTCACATGGCTTATGGCTATTTAAATTGACGCAGCTGAAAGAGTGGTTAAAATAGTGAAACAATTACAACATCTAAAGCATTCACTTTTAACTATGTCTTGATGGTTCATGGACACATTATGCACCATTTGCTTGATGCATATATTTGATTCATGTGATTGTTGTGTTGTGTTTGAGCTCTTTGTAGTTGTGAGCAGGAATGTGATGTAGTCAGCTGTGTGTGTGTGTGTGTGTGTGTGCATCTGCCTCTTTGTTTTGATTATGCAAACCCTCATAAATCTGTTTCAAAGTTAGTGCTAACAGGTTTAACCCTGCCTGCATGCCCTCGTCACATCACACAAAGAGAAGATGTTACTGTGTAGACGTGATTTACTGCAGTGTGGAGCCAATGGCATCAGGATCAGCGTCCAGTGTGAGTGTATTGATCATCATTTTTTGTTTTCTGTCTCTCAGTCCACAGTTTCAGTGTATCTGTGCTGCCTGGCACTAAACTGGAAAGCGGCCCGGCGACTCTGCATTTGTGCAACAATGTCCTGGTCATCGCTAAAGACCTGCCGGCTGTCATCAGAGGTCACTGGAATCTGCTGGACCTGCGGCGATACGGGCCGGTCAACAACGGGTTCGTGTTTGAGGGAGGAACACGCTGTGGTTACTGTGAGTATGGCAATTAAACGAGGAAAGCTTTTTGATAAAATGCAATATCAAGGAGTCAAGGTTGTGCTAGTTATCGTGATCCAGTCGGCTTCTTCTGTTAAGAGAACCCATCTGCGAGTTGCTTAATGTTGTGTAAAGTTTGAAAAAGCTTTGGTAACCTTTTGGGACTTTTTTTAGGTTGAGGAAAAAAAATCTTAAGTTGGTATAAAAAAAAACATTGAATATATCACTGTATATCCACCTCTGAAATCCTCCACCTCCCCCAGCTCCACCTGTCTAGACCAAATACATTGGCATATCCATAAACATGCTAAAACTATTCCAAGAGTTTATGACTGAAATATGGTTATATATTATTATGTATAGTTATATATAGCATTCCTTGTATTGCTCAGCTGTTGTTATAAGCATTGGTAAATAGATGTAAAGCCAGATTTCACAAATGCTCGCTTTGCTCAGTGTGCGGCAGTAAGATGATTTATGATGCTCTAAATGGTTGCATTGGTTTGTGACAGCATTCAAAACAGCAGATTTGTTTACTTGATTGAATGTGGTTGTGTGTGTGTAACTGGTATTCCCTACGTCATGGAGACCAAATGTCCCCACAGGTATCGTAATACTGTCACAGCTACGGTGAATGAAATGCATGACGAAGATGAAGGTAGGGACGTAGTAGACCGGACAACAAACAGAGAACAGAACACAACTAATATAGTGGAGCAAATGAGGATAATTAACCAGACACACCTGAACCAAATGACATAATCAAACAGAGACAGAAACTAGGTCAAACAGAGCATATGGGGGAAGAAAACACAACAAAACAGGTCCATGAGGTGTGACAAATACCAGTACATTTTGACCTTGTGGGGACATTTTGGTTCCCATGAGGAAACAAGCTCATTAATAATACACAATGAAGTTTTTTGAGAATCTAAAAATGCCTGTAGTTTTGTGTGAGGGGTAGGTTTAGGTGTAGGTTTGTACAGTAGAAGACAAAACAAAAAACATTACGCCTATGGAATGAACTCAATGATAGGGATACGAGTGTGTGTGTGTGTGTGTGTGCGTGCGTGTGTGCGTGCATGTGTGTGTGTGAGCGTGTGTGCGAGTGTGTGTGTGTGTGTGTGCGTGCGTGTGTGCGTGCGTGTGTGCGTGCGTGTGTGCGTGCGTGTGTGCGTGCGTGTGTGCGTGCGTGTGTGCGTGCGTGTGTGCGTGCGTGTGTGCGTGCGTGTGTGCGTGCGTGTGTGCGTGCGTGTGTGCGTGCGTGTGTGCGTGCGTGTGTGCGTGCGTGTGTGCGTGCGTGTGTGCGTGCGTGTGTGCGTGCGTGTGTGCGTGCGTGTGTGCGTGCGTGTGTGCGTGCGTGTGTGCGTGCGTGTGTGCGTGCGTGTGTGCGTGCGTGTGTGCGTGCGTGTGTGCGTGCGTGTGTGCGTGCGTGTGTGCGTGCGTGTGTGCGTGCGTGTGTGCGTGCGTGTGTGCGTGCGTGTGTGTGTGTGTGCGTGTGTGTGTGTGTTTGTGTGCGTGCGTGCGTGTTTGTGTGCGTGTGTCTGTGTGTGTGTGGTCACAGCTGACAGTGTTTGTGTGTGTATATGTGTGAGTGTGTGTGCGTGTGTGTGTGTGTGTGGTCACAGCTGACAGTGTTTGTGTGGTTGTGAAGTCTCAGCTGGTTTTGGGTGGTCTTGTTTGTAGAGTGATGGATGTCTCTGCTCATCAAACTTCATCAGATTCCTAGAAGGAGCAAGTCAGACATCAATGACATTCTTCTAGAAACTGACACACGACACAATACCAGCTGGACATTCAGAGAATATTCATCAGTTATTTGAATAGTTTAGTAAAAGCATTATTATCAACTGAAACTAAAACCATAAAAATTAAACACTACATTTATTTCCGCAACATTTCTCATTTTGTTTAGTGTAAGTTGAAATCAAATAACTAAAATTAAGTAAGAAAACTAAAACTTAAAAACTATACATACATCTGTTTAAAAAACGAATAAAATGACAAAATTAATTAATTAATTGATAACAGAATGGTAAATATTAAAAATGAAGTCTAATTCAAAATATAAACAAAAACTATAATATTATATCAGTGATACTAAAATAAGATTGATGACAAACCAGACATATCAAAATGTTATTGTGTCTCCTGAGTCAGTTTTGAATGCTACAGATTTGTTAAAGGAATAGTTTACACAAAAATAAAGATTCTGTCCTTATTTATTGACTAACTCTCATATAGTTATTCCGTAGAATTTTTGAAGAATACTTTTTTCATTAAAAATAAAAGTTAATGAGGAATGGTGCGGTCTAAAATGACACAAAAAAAAAGAAAATTGAAACAAATGTTCTGAATTGTGTCTCTACATGTGTCTGTGCCTCTGTTTTTGAGTGCTGTATCGCATTACATAAAATGACAAAAATATCATTAAAATTCAGTGATACTAAAATAAGATTGATGACAAACCAGACATATCAAAATGTTATTGTGTCTCCTGAGTCAGTTTTGAATGCTACAGATTTGTTAAAGGAATAGTTTACACAAAAATAAAGATTCTGTCCTTATTTATTGACTAACTCTCATATAGTTATTCCGTAGAATTTTTGAAGAATACTTTTTTCATTAAAAATAAAAGTTAGTGAGGAATGGTGCGGTCTAAAATGACACAAAAAAAAAGAAAATTGAAAATTGAAACAAATGTTCTGAATTGTGTCTCTACATGTGTCTGTGCCTCTGTTTTTGAGTGCTGTATCGCATTACATAAAATGACAAAAATATCATTAAAATCATAAAAGTGGACCAGTAGACTTAAGCAATATGCAACTATTCTGAAGCCATACGATGGTTTTGTTTTCGATCAATTAGAGTCAGTTCCTCGTGACACAAAGCTCAGAATTCCTCAGTATATAGTATATTATGGACTACTTTAACAATGCTTCAGTGTCCTTTTTGCAGCTTGAAAACTTCAATTCCTATTCATTTGAATGGAAAAGAGCAACCAGTGCATTATTGATTTCAGTATCATTCTCCATCTGTGTTCCACGGGAGACTGTCGAACACACGTGTTGATCGCGTGTGTCTGTGTGCAGGGGCCGGCGTGTTCTTCTTGTCCTGCGCCGAGGCCGAGCAGATCAGTTTTCTCTTCGACTGTATTGTTCGTGGCATTTCCCCGTCCAGAGGCCCGTTTGGACTGAAGCCACTGCTGCCAGGTCAGTGTCACGAGTCTCATCACGTCTGTTTAAACCCTCATCCGAGGCCAAAATCTGGCTCTAACTCCTGATGCTTTCATGCCACATCCACCAGACTCTAAGTCTCTCTCATTTATCTCACATGGTCCCACATATTCACACTACATACGGCTTTATTACCTGCTGATATCAGGGCTTTTCTACTTTCAGACAAAGCTTTTTTAAGGCAGCATTCAACATTTGTTGTTTTATGATAATATCAGTTTGTTAAGTCAAGCTATGTTATGACCCCTTGTAAAAAAAATTTTAACTGTACTTGTAGATAATATACTTTTAATGTGAAGCCACTTAAGTGACTTAAAGAGAGACACTTTCATGACAGTTTCTTAACACACTTTTAAAAAGAGCACTTTGTAATAATATCTAATTGAAAGTTTTAGTATAGAAATGTATATTTTAGTTGTTTTATTTCACCATATATGCTTGTCAGTACATTTGGCAGTACACTGATTTCAATGATAATAGAAGTAATTATGAAATTACATATAAAGATACATTTATTTTTGTATAGCGCCTTTAAAAGTTAATTCTCAAAGCGCTTTACACTTAAGAGGAAACAACGTTTAAAAGAAAAAAAAGAAAGATGGGTCAAAATCACTCTAAATTTAAGCTAATTGCATTTAATATCAATTCAAACTATATGCAACGAGTATCTGAAAACATTAATTCAGTAGTCTTTTAAAGTTTATTATTTCCATGACAAGTACTCTTTTTAAAAGTATGCTAAAGTCTACTTATTTTTCATAAACAAATGTAAATTCAGTTATTCAAAATTTTTTATATAATGTATGAAGATTCATTTAAATTGTGCATGAAAAAATAGCAAGGGTGATATTATTAAGACAATGTGTAGTTTACGAAACTAAATAACTGGCTTTTATATTGTCATTGTACTAAAGCCAGAGCAAGTAATTAAAATGCCACTACTAGAGTAATATTAGATGTATAAACATTTTCATTTACATTTAATAATGCGTTTATTTTTTCTCTCTCTCTGTGAAATTGTACTTGTTTCCCTTTTGTAGCCCCAGTTTTGAAGCCTCTGATAGAATTCATGCATGATCAGCCCTAAGGCTTTTTACTGGGACATTTAAGACACTGACAAGTGTTTACATATCAGAACGCTTCACACCTCCTCCTGACCAATCAGAACTCGAGCTTCTCTCCTATTCTGAGACGACGGGAGATCAAGGGGTCAGAGTCACAGTTTATATACGCGAGCATTCCTGATGACTCTAACCTCATCCACAGAAAACGCCATGTTCTGTCAATCTGCTACATCTCATGGATATTTGGTCAAAAAGCTCGAATGCAAAGCAGTGTTTATGAAGTCCCTCGGGATGTGTGTTGATCAGCGTCAGCGCTCCTCTGGCCGTTTGCCATCTCATCCACATGTCTGCTCTATTAATAGCACTTTAAGTGCTAGACTAACACTGGGCTTCTGCTGTAACTCTTCTGGGTCAAGTTGTCAATCTCAAACCACCAATTTTGCTATTTAGTATTGGATTTATATGGGGACGAGGGGTGATGTAATAATTACCCAAGCTTTGTAATATTAATCACTTCTAAATCTGCAATTTTAGTCAATTTACAGTATTTTTTATATAATGTCTATATTATGTCCTCAACAAATAACCAAAGATGTGAACTGACAGGATAATAGACAACATGTGCATTTGATATTATTGGTCCATGTTCAGCATGCAGGCCATTGCATTGCTGTTTCTCAAATTATTATTTAAAAAAAATAATAATAATAATATTTATTTGATTTTTTTTATTAAATAAAAGTGATTCAATAAAGAGTAATATAAAATAATATAATAGTATTATTATAATAAATGACAAATATTATTATAAAATATTTATTTTAGAATTATTTTAATATTAATAAAACAACACAACCATGACATTTTGTAATTTGAGCAGAAGGAAATGGCAGTGTTTCAGAAGTTTATTAAAAAATAAAAATAAAAACAAAGAGAGAGAGAGAGCTGAAAACAGTGAATGGAATGTGGTGTCTTTTTAGTCCAGCTACAGTATAGTATGATTACAGGTTCTGAATCTGAAATCCCAATCAATTTCTCCTTACAATCTCATGTATGTCCTCATATTTATTGTCCTCATCATAATTAATTAGCTCTGATAAATACATTTTTTGACAGGTCAGTTACGTGTGCCAGTGATGCGTCATGCAGTCATATCTGTCTTGATGATTTCTGAGCACCTCCTGTGTGAAGATGTCCACATTGAAATAAGGCCGAAACATAATATAAATATAAGATATAACATATAAATATAAGAGGGATTATATTTATATTTTATATAAAATATATATTTGTTCTAAAAAAAAAACATGTAAACAAAAATTTTAAATGTTGCCTTGACAACCAACTGAAATGTATATGCACATTTCCAGTTTTAATGTGTGTGTATATCATTCCGTGTCAACTCAACCAGAGGTCCCCAACATTTTTGATTTTGCTAATATATTCTTAAGAAAGATAGACATGTATAGTGATGAAAGCCAAAATATTAAATGTTGTGGATGAATATTTACTGAGTAAAACACTATTTTGTAGAGGGGGTTCAAAATGGCAATTTTCACCTGAGATTCAGAGCCAAATTACAGGGGGGTAAAATTAGCTTAAGAAAGATGGCAGCATCATAATGTTACTCTTACACAGAGAATGGTAGGTCTATTAGTAAAAGCTGTAGAATTTAGCAATCTTTATTGCATTATGTGCCAATGGTGACCATTCAAAAATGGGGAAAGAGCACTTTTCAAGTTTTTTTCTCCAAAGTTTGCAGGCCTGCAACTCAAAAAGTATTAAAGATATCTTAATGCCCTTTTAGATATTTGGTCTTAACAAACTTCTCTTTTGGCATCTTCGTTGTTAAGGCCCCATATGGTTCAGTTCCAGAGATAATGGAATTTCAATATGGCTCCAGGAGTAAATCGATCAATTGTACACATTTTCAGTGGTCAAAAACCAAATGTGGGTCACTTTGCAAAAATATGACCCCATATGGTTCAGTTCCAGAGATAATGGAATTTCAATATGGCTCCAGGAGTAAATCGATCAATTGTACACATTTTCAGTGGTCAAAACCCAAATGTGGGTCACTTTGCAAAAATATGATAATTATTTTATTTTAAAGAGGAATGTCTGAAGAACAAATAATGTTGAAACTAGAGATATATCTCATTTCCTTCTGTCAAAACAACTACATTGAACATACCTGTCTGAGTGCCGTAAGTATTCTTTTTCCAAAGTTTGTGTGCCTATAACTCAAGCAGTATTAAAGATATCGCAATATAATTTTAGATTCTAGTTCTTAATTAACTTTTCTTTTGAAATCTTTATTACCAAGGCCCTGTATCATTCAGTCCCAGAGATATGGGGACCTCAATGAGGCCCCATATTCAGACTGTTGAATAAAATCTATTTTCAGTGGTTGAAAACCAAATTTTGGTCACTTTCTATACAAAGTATACACTTTGTAACAAAAAACTAAAATTAAAATTGAATAATCAAAATATGAAAATAAAAGCTAATTCAAATTATTAATGAATAGTGTAATAATATATACTGTAAGTAATACTAAAACAACAGCAACACTGTTTCACATGAGCAGCGTAGGAATGTTGAAGCCTGACTGCACCAAGATGCGGGTCTGTGACACATGAACAGATCACTGAGGCATTTTATTTGCCTAAAAGTAAAAGTTTCTTCATGTTTAGCAAATGTTAGCAGGCACGGGTTACTAAAACATGGCATTTGACCATCTTTTTGATAATTGCACAGCTGCAGATCAAATGCTAGCATTCCCATTTTGTTTGTTTCCATGTCATATTCTGGTTTGTGTGTCTCACAGTTGGTTTTGATTTTCTCTGTCTGTGTCTTAGAGCCCAGCATCAGTGCAGCTTCAGCTCAGGACAGACTTAAGCATGAGGCGGAGGAGCTGGAGAGGAGGCTCAGTCTGCTGTCTCACAGCACAGGTAACTGCTCACCCGTCTCTGTCCCACCACTAATACATCCGTCTGGTTGGTGTATGTAATATTGCATGTTAAATGCAATTGAATGAAAATGTACTATAGTTTCAGTTGATATTAAATGTGATTAGCTGAACTTTTTGCTGAGTGTTTTCGACTCACTTAAGTATGACTTAATTGCATCTTTATATGTGATTTCATAATTACTTCTGTTGTTTTTCAAATATGGTTAAAGTACTGCTGAATGTGCTGACAAGCATTTATGATAAACTAAAATACTTTAATGTGAAATGTCTATTGAAATTTCCATTTCATGTAGTTAAATACATTTGTAATTACATATATGTAATAGTTAAGTTGCAATTTATTGTTTTTAAAGTATAGTAACTTTAAACATAATATCGAATAACACACTGCAGTTAAAATGATAATCAAGTACTTTACATGCTTTAGTATGTTAGTAAACACATCAACACAGTGTACTTCTTTAAAACATGACAAAAGATTATTAAAACAATGATTTAAAATGTGACATCATTTACACTTAAGTGTGTTAGGTCATGAAAGTGTCTCTCATTAAGTCACTTAAAAAATAAGAGGCCGCTTAAGTGTTAAAACATGATTTAAAATGTACTTCAAAGTAAAATGTTTAATTTGACATTATTTACACTTTTTAAAAGTGTACTTAAGTGTGTTAAGAAACAGTCATGACAGTCACCCGTTAAGACACTTAAGTGAACTCTTATTTCATGCATACATGCCATATATATTTAATATTTTATTTTTTATTTATTATCTGCAAGTAAAACAAATTTAAATTGGAAGTACACTACAAGTGCACATTCGGGCACTTCTTTTAACAAGGGTCTATGGAAATATTAATATGTGTGATACAAATCAATAATGTATTCATTTAAAAAGTCAAAAAAAGGATAATTTCTTGCAGTTATTTCTCAATTTCCATTATGTGCATTAAATATGTAATCAGAATTAATAATATTGCTTTCTTTCTCTTCTGTCCTGGAAGCTTCCAGCTCACGCTTCGGCTCTTCGCTTGCGGGCGACGACCGCAGCATTTCCGGTTCCTCTGACACCTCGGACACGAGCCAGTCAGACTGCAGCGTTAGCGGTCGCCCTGCGCCGTGGAGCGATCTGGTTCTGCCCGGCTCTGCCGAAACGTCTCAGGTGGAGGAGAAACTCCAGGTCCCGGCCGATCCCGTTCGCTCACGGAAGCTGAAAGAGTCCGGCCGACAGAACTCATCCGACAGCGGCATCGCGACCGGCAGCTTCTCGTCCTACAGCGGGAGTCTGGATGCTGCCGGTCCGGGAGAGGAATACGGTGCGCTGTTTAACCTACCAGAGAAACACCTGTGCTCCTGCTCATCCTGTCCCGTCCACGAATACCAGGTTCCCTCGTCCCTGCGGTTCCTGTACGACTCTCCCCGCAGCCTGCTGGAGGTCAGCAGACACAGCAGCACATCTCAAGACGAGCCCTGCGCCGAATCTCCCAGCCAATCAGACTCAGAGCTTGATAAAGGGGAGGAGTCACAGACAAGGGAGGGCCTAATAAAAGGGGAGGAGTCTCAGGGATTATCCTGTAGTAAAAGCTGCTGTTCACTTCCTCCTGCCGGGATGAAATCACTCTTCACCTCCTGCCCCGTCTGCGGAGGACTCAAGGTATTTACATTACATTTAGTCATTTAGCAGGCACTTTTATCCAAAGCGACTTACAAATGAGGACAATGGAGGCAATCGTAATCAACAAAAGAGCAATGATAAGCAAATGCTATGACAAGTCTCAGTTAGCCTAACACAGTACACATAGCAAGGGTTTTTTGTTAATTATATAATAGATAAAAAGAAAACAGACAGATAGAATAGAAAAAGCTATCGTTAGAGGTCTTTTTTTAATAGAAAACAAGCAGTTAGAAAGCAAATAGAGTGCAAGTCTTAAAGGGTCTTAAAAAAAGAAAACAAATAGATCAAATAGAATTAGAATAGAGAGTGCTAGAATAAAAGAGAACATTTAATGTAAAAAATGTTAATGTAAACAAATATATATATATATATACACTACTCAGGGTTATTATAGTTAATTATGGTTAACTGAAACATTTTCATTACTTGAAATAAAATTGTTAAATTCAATAAAATTGTTAATAAAATTATTAATCATTAAAAGCATTAATTTAAATAAAATAATTAAACGTACCTAATTTCAGGTAATTGCAAAGGCAACATTTCTCACTTTAATTTCATTTACTTTGATGTACTAAAACTTCAATGATTAATAAAAACTATGTAGATAAATAAAAATAACTAATACATTGTATAAAAAACAAACAAAATTACTAAAACAAAATTCAAATGAAAACAGAACAGAATAAAAAAACTAATTTAATATATGCTTTCTCTTTACTTGTTACACAATAATAAATGGATTAGGGCTGCATGATATATTAGAATAAAATCTTTAAATTAAATAAAATCATTAAAAATGGTTAAAAACATTAACTAAAATAAAAAATAAAATCTATTTATATATACAATTTTCATTAAGTTTATCTTGATGTACTAAAATAACAAACTGAAATAATAAAAACTGTATAGACATGTTTAAAAAACAACAACAATAAAAAAAGACAAAAAACAAACAAAATTGCTCAAAATTTGAATAAATAAGTAATAAAAACCATAATGTTAAAATAACACTACTTTCTATTTATTTTTTCCACAACAATGATCACAATAATCATTATTGCGACATGGCTTAATGCATTAGTCGTGCCATGAAGGCTGCAGTTTATAATAATAATCTATATAAGTGTGCTGTGTGATTCAGAGTGAATTAGCTAATAGAAGTTTTTTGATAAATACAATATATGTTTTAATCTAAATCTTTTCACAGTACTGTAGCTTTGCATGTTGATTTCTCCAAGTGTTTTTGGAGATGTTGCCACGGTTCTTATTACACATTATACTCGTTTTCATCGTTCTGCATATTACTGTGAACTTTAATGTTATTTTCATTGAAAAAAATATATTCCATGAATATGACATAATCAAAATGAACAAATAATTTAATTTATCATCAGAAAAGTGTTGGCCAAATTGCATAGCGCTACAAACAAGCACAGCAAACCTGGAGTTGTTTTATTACTTTTTTATTATTATTATTGATTTTTAAATGGCAGTTATAGTTGTTCCAAAAAAAATCACATTTGCATTTCTTTCTTGGAGCTGTGAGGAAACACTGAGCTACGATCAAGAACCTCCTGATGTGCTGCATCCAGAGCAGTGTTGTGTTTAGTGGCATTGATGAAGGTGTTCTGTAGCTGTTAATCGATGTGCTCTGTGTGTTTGTTAAACAGGGCTCTTTTCATCATTCACTGCCCACTGCGCCAGGTGAGATTCACACAGCCAATATATCTCTTTACAGCCTCTCTCAGTCTGCATGACCCATAATGCACTGCTCAGAAGTTCGTTTCATGAGTCCTTATCTGGAAAAGACATGCACTTTAGCATACTTTATAAAAGGTGCACTTATGACAGAAATAATATACTTATGTGTGAACTAAATGCAATGTTTTTTGAACACTTAATTGCATGTTAATGGCAATTAAATTAAAATTAGTTACAGTTTCAATTTATATTAAATGCAATTATCTGAACTTCAGCTTGCTTTTTTGACCCACTTAAGTTGGACATCAGTACATCTTTATATGTAATTTCATAATTGCTTCTTTGAAATATGGTTAAAGTACTGCTGACAAGCATTTATGATCAACTGAAATATACTTTAATGTCACTTCTATTGTCATGTATTAAAAACAGTTTGCAATTAAACACTCGCAATTTTCGCATTAAACACTCGCAAATTTTCCAATATTGCAATATAAATGTAAATCAAATAACACAATACAGTTAAAATGAAAATCAAGTACTTTACATGTGCTTTAGTATGTCAGTCAACACATCAAAATAAGTGTACTTCTTTAAAACATGACAAAGATTATTAAAACATAATGATTTAAAATAAAACTTAATTTGACATTATTTCAAAGGTCACTTTTTAAAAAGCATCAAAATAAGTGTACTTCTTTAAAACATGACAAAGATTATTAAAACATAATGATTTAAAATAAAACTTAATTTGACTATTTCAAAGGTCACTTTTTAAAAAATCTACTTACGTGTGATCAGAAACGGTCATGAAAGTGTCTCTCTTTAAGTCACTTAAGTGGCCTTTTAATTCATTAATATTATACTATCTGCAAGGACTTTTAAATATACTCTTAATATTTTCTATATACCTCTCATATGTATTAGCTAATTTACTGCACATTTTAATATAGCTAATAAGTACAGACACGCTCTTAAAGTGCCAGGTGAACATTCAGCCACGCCCACTGCTGATGTCACCGAACCACCCACCAATCAGGAGCCAGTGGAGATCAGACACTCATCTTCGACCAATCACGATCCACGGAGGCCCTCGTCTGAACGCTCGCAGACCAATGAGGAGAAGCGATCGGAGATCTACGACTGTCTCCTGTCACACTACAGTCCTGCTGCGAGAAGCAGCGTCTACGAGGCGATGGCAGCATCCAGACACACCGTCCTGTACGAGAACTGCGTCCAGTGCAGGAGAGGAGAGGACAGCTGCCGGATCCTCAGACCCACTCCTCCATCCAGAGACGCGTTTGTCCAGGAACTGAGGAGGAACATCTCCGAGTCCTCCTGCTCCTCCACAGTCTCTCTGCAGCGCATACCTGCAGAAGGTAAGAGAGCGTCTCTAACCCAACTCTCCTCTGGGGACCCTTCCAGTCTTCTCCTCCTCACTCCAGGAGTCTCTGTCTAGTCGAATTAATATTACCTTTCTTCTGCCTGCAAACCTGTCTGCGTTGTTGTGTCCCGTTTCTGAGAAGGTTTGCATGGATGAAGATCCTCAAGGACTTGAAAGCGAGTTTGATGCACGGTTACGTCCAAGTGTTTTTTTTTTTTTTTTTTTTTGCAAAACTGTGTTTTTAGACACTTTTTTTTCCTGACCAAAACCTACAGTTTGTCATTTGTGACCCTGGACCACAAAACCAGTCATAAAGGTCAATTTTTTTGAAATTGAGATTAATACATCATATGAAAGCTGAATAAATAAGCTTTGCTTTGATGTATGGTTTGTTAGGAGAGGACAATATCTGAAAATCTGGAATCTGAGGGTGCAAAAAAATCAAAATATTCAGAAAATCATCTTTAAAGTTGTTCAAATGAAGTTCTTAGCAATGCATATTACTAATCAAACATTAAGTTTTGATATATTTACGGTAGGAGATTTACAAAATATCTTCATGGAACATGATCTTTACTTAATATCCTAATGATTTTTGGCATAAAATACAAATCAATAATTTTGACCCATACAATGTATTTTTGGCTATTGCTACAAATATACCCCAGCGACTTAAGACTGCTTTTGTGCTCCAGGGTCACATTTTTCATGCAAATCAGACATTAAATATACTACACAGAAGAAACGATTAGTAAGCTGGTATAGGAGAATATACGTTTTCAATTGATAAGTGATATGCAGTGCAGATAACGTGTGTTTGTTTCTGTCTTTGTGCAGATAACAGAGAGAGAATATGGGCAGAGAAAGGAAGAACTTATGAAATCATGGACAGCCGATCATCAGACAGGAGCCCAGAGGTGACTGTGTGAATTACAGAGGATAGAAGTGTGCAAACAATACAGCACTAAAACAAATCTAACCTAACACAGCAGCTGGATTCTTGAGACAGGTTAAACAAATTGAAATGAAAACTAAAAGAATAAAAATAAAATCTAATTCAAAATAATAATAAATACTGTAATAAAATGTAAATAACACTAAAATGTGAATGTTTGAGACAGCGTTGGTTAAAAATAGCATTCAGTATTTTTATATATCAAACCATGTGCGTGAAATGAATCTGACGGTAATCTGAAAAATTGTTGTTTTTTTCTATTTTAAATAAATTGACTTGTTTCTTTAGGTTGAATTGGTCATACTGATTGCAATAATATTTTCTGTGTATATATATATATATATATATTCTTTATATAACTTTTCATTGCCAAAGCAACATTCCTCATTTTAATTTAGTTTAACTTGAAGTGCTTAAATAACTACAACTAAAACTGAAATAGAATAAAAATATATGTACTATATACTGTATATATATATATGTATATATACATATATATTTTTAAATAAAGCAACACATAAAACTGACAAAAACACACAACAAATAAAATATGAAAATAAAAACAATTTCATAGTATTAAAAACAATATGATCTCAATGATACAAAATGAGACTGATTGAAAATACCAAATTTTAATTGAAATTTCATCACCTACCTATCAATACCTACTAGGTTTTTTATACATATATATATATATATATATATATTCATTTAATAACACATGTAGGGTTTCAAGATAGAGGAGTTAAATACAGCTGAAGGCCACACACAGTATACGCTATTGAGAGTCAGTCGTGTGAAAAATGCATTTGTAACACATAAAGGCTCGTCTCGAAATCCAGAGCACTTACAGTGAAACCCTGCTGAACCTGTTCAGACAGGTCTCACGTTCCACCGGTGAGGACATGTGGGTTTTTAAGCAGGAATCGCACTAATTAAGGTGTGTTTTTCCATGGATAACCGTCTCTGTCTCTGTCTCTGTGTCAGGAGGAGCGCAGCAGGTACCAGCTCCTGATGGCTTCACAGAAGATTGCTCCTCCTCTGACTGAAGGTGATCTCACATCTGTGTGTGTTTGTGTGATTTCTCTGAGCTGTGTGACACGTGTTGTGTGTGTGTGTGTGTGTGTGAGTGAGAGTGTGTGTGTGTGTATGTATATGTATAAAAAAAAGCTTTGACATACTGAAATGAAACTTTGCGTATGTTGTCATTATCACTGCCCTAAATGATCAGAATCTGTATTTACGAAAGCTTTGGGTAATTGCCATTGGGGCAGTTATCTAAACAGTGCAGTAACAGCTCTACCTAGTGGTTATTTACACACAAAATGTAATCAGCTTAAAAAAAATGTAAAAGTTTAGAATTTAGGATTAATTTGGTCTGACATCATTAGTTATTAGCATTAAAAAAAAGTTAAATATTATATCAAATTACCTCATTCTTAATTTCTTATTGCATGCAATGAAAAAATTGGGATGTTTACCCCTCATTTAATAACACATGTAGGGTTTCAAGATAGAGGAGTTAAATACAGCTGAAGGCCACACACAGTATACGCTATTGAGAGTCAGTCGTGTGAAAAATGCATTTGTAACACATAAAGGCTCGTCTCGAAATCCAGAGCACTTACAGTGAAACCCTGCTGAACCTGTTCAGACAGGTCTCACGTTCCACCGGTGAGGACATGTGGGTTTTTAAGCAGGAATCGCACTAATTAAGGTGTGTTTTTCCATGGATAACCGTCTCTGTCTCTGTCTCTGTGTCAGGAGGAGCGCAGCAGGTACCAGCTCCTGATGGCTTCACAGAAGATTGCTCCTCCTCTGACTGAAGGTGATCTCACATCTGTGTGTGTTTGTGTGATTTCTCTGAGCTGTGTGACACGTGTTGTGTGTGTGTGTGTGTGTGTGTGTGAATGGTTCAGCGTTGACAGACAGACTCAGAGGAGACGCGGTGACATACGTGAATATCCCCACCAGCCCCACGTCCAAAAAACTGCTGCATTACATGGAACTGGAGCTGCAGGAGTCCAGCGCCGCCGTCAGAGGTGCACAACAGTCCACTAATGATAATAATAATCATATTTGTGACCCTGGAGCACAAAAGCAGTCTTAAGTCGCTGGGGTATATTTGTAGCAATAGCCAAAAATACATTGTATGGGTCAAAATTATACATTTTTCTTTTATGCCAAAAATCATTAGGATATTAAGTAAAGATCATGTTCCATGAATATATTTTGTAAATTTCCTACAGTAAATATATCAAAACGTAATTTTTGATTAGTAATATGCTTTGCTAAGAACTTCATTTGAACAACTTTAAAGATGATTTTTTTGTTTTAAGAATTTGTGTTCAATAACAGATACGCAGAACCAGGACTTAATCTCAAATTATTTGTATGTTTTTTTATGTACAGTGGTAACTAGATAATTAATATTAACATTTACATTTACATTTACATTTAGTCATTTAGCAGACGCTTTTATCCAAAGCGACTTACAAATGAGGACAATAAAAGCAGTCAAAACTAACAAAAGAGCAACAATATATAAGTGCAAATGACAAGTCTCGGTTAGCCTAACGCAGTACACGTAGCAAGAGTAAAATTGTGAAATATTATTACAATTTAAAATAACTGTTTTCTATGTGAATATCTGTTAAACTGTAATTTATTTCTGTGATCAAAGCTGTATTTTCAGCATCATTACTCCAGTCTTCAGTGTCACATGATCTTCAGAAATTTTATTCCGTGAAACATTTTATTTTTCAGGATTCACAGATGAACAGAAAGTTCAAAAGAACAGCATTTATTCAAAGTAAAAAATCTTCCGTCACATTATAAACGTATTTACTGTCACTTTTGATCAGTTTAATCCAATTTAATCGTCTCTCAGGCAAGACTTTCTCACTGACGCTTGTTCTCACGAACGCTCCCTGCCGCTTGTGTTTGCTGTCTGCAGGCAAAAGCTCCAGTAAATACACTCAGATAGACATCACAGCGACGGAGGCGGCTCACAGAGCGGGTTCCCAGCATGCACTGGGGCGAGAGGAAGGCCTGCAGAGACTGGAGCAGCAGAGGAGACGACGAGGTCTTCCTCACGATGAAGAGAGATCGCCTCTCCTCTGGACAAACTGACCAAAACACCTGCATCAGTCCAGACAGTAAACACTAGTGTCTAGTATAGTGTAGTAGTCGTGTTTCCTCATGTGGGAGTCATTATGTAGTCTGTCACGCTTAGACGACATTCGGTCTACAGTGAGCCGCTGCTACGTGAACAGATATCTGTGTTCTCATCTTAGATAAATGTGTGCAATGCACAGAACCAGAAATGCATTTTTTATTTATTGCATTTTAAAATGCAGAATATTCGTTGTATTGCTTTCTGGTTGCATTTGTATGAAATAGGCTGCATAGTCTTTTTATTAACCTACATTCAAGTGTCATTTTTACATTAAACTGCTGATTTTGTATTTTGTACATTACAGGCCTGTATGTTCTCATATTCTCTTTCAGCGCTGAAGGAAGTGAACACGATGTGTTGCTTTGTTTGTTTGTTTTCTATTGCAGTCACTTTGTCGAATATTGCGATTGCAGTTTGAACTGTGATATGATAACCATGCTGCTAGATATAGATATTATATGTAGATATAATAATCAACATAATAATGCTAATAATAATCTGTTGTTATTACTAGTGTGCTATAAAATAAAATATTGTTGAGTACTGTTATTATTATTATTATTATTTATTTCAGCATTTTCTATTTTACATCACAGTATAATAGTACAGCAGTGATCTATTTCTTACATTAAACCCTCAAACTTTGTCTTGGTGGAAAACTTCATTTGTGTGTAGTTGGCCATAATTTTCATCTTCATACACTCTGGTGAAGTGCTGTATTCCTGTCTCCACTAAAAAAAAAAAAAAAAAAAGTGTTTGTTTTCTTTTTCTGACACATTTTTGGAAATTTAATTTTTGACAGAATTATGGACTGCTAGTTCTCGGAGAACAAAGTAAAAACCATGAAGTCTTTATTATTTGTAATCGTGATATTTGTGTTATTGTTGAATATATGCCCTTTCACTCTGAAATATGGCACTTTATGAAACTTTATGATAAAATCATTTGCAGTTGTTGTTTTTGTTTGTTTGTTTGTTTGTTTTTTTCAATGTGATATGCTGCCATTAGTCTCTTTCACTCAGTAGGCTATTACCAGCAAATTGCCGTAAAATTACCGGAGCAACTTATACAAAATACAAAAATACAGAGGCAGCAATATTCCATTCACACATCAGTTTCACAATACCGGTGAATTATGTAACATCGTTAACCAGAAATAACCTCTAAATGTGCCTCCCATTCTTAAAAAAAGTATAAAAATGTTTTTTTTTGTTGGTATATTTTAAAATCCATATGGCACACAAAAGTATGATGTTGGTAAGAAAACAGCTAATAAATTGAAATAGAAATTACAAGAGATTTCACACTGATTTATTATGTTTTGGTAGTTGAATGACTTGAATGATGATCATCTGATGTTGTTTTTGTCATTTATTCACAATATCTCATTCTTGCAGGAACTTCAGGTTGAACTTTGACCTTTGCCGTGTGGTGGACGTCACCGCAGATAAAGCGATATTCTTGCTCTCATAAACGCAATAAGGAAAGAAATCTCTAAACATGATGAAACTTCAACATACAGTACAGGTATTCTCAAAAATTCTATATATTTTTTTCTTATTAAAACTTATGTTCTATGAAATCTATTTGTGAGACGCGACACTACATTTAGTTTAATCATGAATGTAATTAATAACTCTTCTATTTGTCAAATGAACCTGGCATTTTGTATTATGAATATTGTTGGCTTCTTGACAAAATTGCTTTTGCTCCTCTTTGAATGAGTTGCTTTGAAATCATTAAAAGCTTTTAAAGGCTTCGGCTAAATGTATCTGTAAACTGTGTGAACTGCAGTGAGTTTCACTTGAAAAAAAAGTTTGTGTTCAGAGATATTGGTGTTCAGTTTATGTTCACATACGCAGAAACATGAACATGATGCAGAATTGCTCCATAAGTTCTGCATATAGCAATAAAAGTTAAGTATCACACAGTTTAACACATATATTTGGACTCACAGAAGCTTAAAACTATTTTTTTTTCTGTAGCAACAGAAATGTAATTTGTGTGTGACATAACACATATTTCTTGTGCAAAGTGACTTGTAGAGAGACTATTAGATCAACATATGTAACATCTGAGGAAACTTGGTAACACTTTACAATTGTTTTCATTAATAAACCATTAACAAACATTATATAATGCTTAACAGATCATCAATATATTAAAATAGCTAGAAACCTGAGATATGTGCTTGTTAATGTTTACTTTTAAATATATTAAGCATTGGCTAAAGATTAACAGATTATTTCATACAAATTATATGCTTACAAACGTCAATAAACTTTCCATTCAATGGGATAATCCTAAAAAACAGTGTCTATGAAAAGAGCAGAGGACTCGCCCTGAAACTCAAAGACAAAGAAAAAGATGAAGAAACTCTGAAGAAAGAGTTTGACTGGTTTCAGAAAAAAAACAAGTCAAAATTAAGTCAGTTTTTGCTTAGAACAAGCAAAATAATCTTATTTCAAACAGAACACCCCACTTCATTTTAACTTGTTTTTTTCTGAAAACAAGACAATAATTTTTACTTGTCTAGAAAATCCTTCTTGATTTAAGAATTTTTAGATATTTTGGCTGGAAACAAGACAAATAAGAAACTAGTAAGAAAAGCATTTTTTGCAGTGCAAACTAAAATGTGCTGTTAACATACTCTCTTTGTATTAAAAAAAATGTATTTAGTTACCACTTGCACCATCTTTCATACACTAGTACACTCAAGTGTACTATAAAGTGGTGACTAAATACATTTTTTAAATACAAAGAGAGTGTTAAAAGCACATTTTAGTTAATATTCATGGTGTCCCAAAATAGCACAGTTCAGTACACTTAGATGATCTTAAGTTTATCTTAAGAAGTACTAAAGAATAATTTTTGGCAAATTAAGTACAAAATTAGTGTGCAAAAATAGAGCACTTTAAGTACATAATGGAAGTGTACTTTGTTTTTCGCCTGGGATGCCTTCTGGAGCATCACCTCTGATCTCTCTAATCGGCCTTACTGGAAGTGGTTTGTGTGCGGATTCCAGAAATATCTAGAAAAATACCTTACTAAAACATCGGAGATCCCAGATGAGTGGCGAGTATACTTGAAACAGTACGCTATCGAGAGTTTGGACAAATACAATGGAGAAGATGAAGAATGAGCAGTGTTGCCAAATCATTTTCAGGGGAAGTTGCTAAAGGAAGGTCGATGTGTTGCTAAAAGTTACTAAATGACGTTGTGATGTGTTGTTACGTAATCACGATGCAAAATTGTCACTGCATCAAATCTCAGCGAAGATTATATTTTATATATGTTAATTTAGATTTCTTCGTAAAATAATATAAATGCATAATATTAAAAATTAAACAACTGTATTTTTTTTTTAAATACAACATTGAATTGTTGAACACTTATAATTTTTTTTTTTTACAATTTAAGATTTTTTTTTTATTAGCTAGTAAACTACGTAGTAAAACTACACATTCGGAGCAATACAGTAGTTTTAAGCAGTGTATTAGTTAGTATGCTATACACTCTAAGACAAATCTGTAAAAATAGGGCAAACTCTACTATGTTAATATGAAGGAATTTTCCGTACTGATTTTTCTGTTTTTTTTTTACCTGCATTTTTAATTAAGCATTGTATTTAGTGTTTTCGGGTTACAACGGATAATGTCCTGGAAAATTACTAGTACCTTTTCCATTTTTCTAGACATTGTTCTTACGGTGTACTAAGTGATCAACAATCGCAGGTACAAGCTAACAAGGTGTATCATTAATGAACAATTATTAAATTATTATTATTAATAATAAATTGAACAATTGCGAACAGTAAGTAACTTGATTCACGTGATCTTTGGTTCCTCTTTTTGTGTAATTTAGATGAAAAATGTGTGCCTTTTTTATTGTTTGTGTCACTTATTAAAAGTTGCCAAATAAATGTTAAAAATAGCTACATTTGTTGCTAGATGCGTTTGGAAGAAAAAGTTGCTAGGGTAGTGTGAAAAGTTGCTAAATGTAGCAACAAAATTGCTAAGCTGGCAACACTGAGAATGAGACACTTGCTCTCTCTTCTACGATTCTCCTCGGATCACAGTAAGAAGTGAGCTTATACAGAACTCCATCAGAAACACTGAAGAGGATCATACCAGCATCTGTGAAACGATCTGAATGTCAAAACAACATATTTCTTAACATCCCTTACCAAAAAGTAGTACACTTCAAGTTTATTTTAGTAAGTATAATTAAGTAAATTTCAAGTATATTTTTAAGTATACTTTATGTAGTAAGTATACAAATATCAGTGTACTAGTAGTAAAGTATACTTTCCTATTTTTAGTTTAAAAGAAGTATACTAATAGCACACTTGAATAAAATTATTTTTCGTAAGGGATATGCTGTACTGATAAAGATCAACATGTTTAATGCATTTCTTCAGTTTTCTCCATAATTGTTGTTTTGACTTTATTGCTGTTATGTGGATCTTTAACTTAAATCAAAAAATCGCTTTTATTTTAAAACCCCTGTAGCAGATTTTCATTCACGCTGAACATTATTTTAGTGGTTTTCAAATTATGAAGTTTATCTTCTCAGCAACATGCCAAATAACATATCCAAAAGTCACCTTCACATATTTAAAGTGGCAAATCGTACCTATGTTGTTCGGACAGAGGTATAGTGACTGCAACCAAAAATGAGAACTTAAAACAAACCTTATCCTGCCACTATTGTATGTAATAATGTTGCTGTTGCACCAGTCGGTGCCAAAGTATTACATCAGAATCTTTTATCACTATGACTATCGCTTAGTTTGTTTGGAGTCTCTTCTGACTTTGAGTAATTCTAAAGAGACAGCAAACACTTGGAAATCGCCCACGACCCTGATATATGCCCTGTCTGAGGGTACAGCCAAGATGTGCAAATTCATGTTTGTGCACTGTTTAAATACAACATACAATCCACAATACTAAAGACTTAGTTAGACTAATTAAACACTTGGCACATGACACATTTAGTTTTGCATTTTGAAAAAAAGTGGTCAAAATGATATACTTTGAAATTATGTTTAAGATGTGTTCAGTAGGCCTAGTTTGATGCTATTTAAAAAAAGTTTTAGAAGTTAAGAAACATTTTATTTACGAAGTTGTCTGAATGCTGTACACTCACACGAAACTGTACTCATCATAGTTTTCTATGAAAAGTGTTTTAATTAAGCAGTAGGCTATAAGGTGCGTTGTATTTCAGCATGTTGAAATGATGTGACGCGCTGTGAATTCTCTCGCTCATTGGCTGCTGCACCGTCTCTGAAAATACGCTAGTAGCGTAGTGTTGTTTGCCGACTGGATGAGCACAAATTAGACAAAAATGGCCGTGCTTTACCAGTGGACACAACGGGAGAATCAGTACCTGTTTGGACGAAGAAGTGGAAAAAGCTCTGAGACCAGACGACAGAAAGACAGACGAAGACAAATAAACAAACAAACAAATAAATAAATACAATTTAAAAAATAACACGCATAAACATCGATACAGCAAACACAAGGTGGGAAGATTTGATAATGGAGAAAATCCTGAGTAGTGACGCTCAAGTTGCTTCTCTTTTATCGCATTACATTTATACCATTAATTTGGTTTACAAATTAAGATTCCACTTCTTCTTATGTATAGGCTATATGGTATTTTCCTAATAAAATAAATAATTGCATTATGTATTGTTTTTTACATTCCAAAAAATGTGATTCTGATAAATAAAAGAGCACCTCAAATACATAAATGTCACCTCATTTTTCTGTTATATATGCCTATAAGTCCTACCAAAATAATATCTTGAGTAAATACAATGATAAATAAAAAACATATTTACATTACATGTAGTCATTTAGCAGACGCTTTTATCCAAAGCCACTTACAAATGAGGACAATGGAAGCAATCAAAACCAACAAGAGAACAATGATATGCAAGTGCTATAACAAGTCTCAGTTAGCTTAACTAAGTACACGTAGCAAGGTTTTTTTTTTATTATTATATAATAAATAATATATATTTTTAATAAATTATATTATATAAAAAGATTAGAAAAGCTAGTGTTATTTTTTTATGAAGAAAACAAGCAGTAAATGATCATTCATAAGTTAAGTTAAGTTAATAATAATAAATCATAAACAGAACTACTCTGTATTCCACCTTCAAAATCAGTGAGCATTAGTGAGGACAGACTCTGCCATCATTATAAATGGAGAGAGAGGTGAGTTAACACAAGCAGACAGTGAAACATGACTCACTCTGAATTGTGTCCATCAATCAGTGACTTTTAATGAGACAGCAG